GTGTTTAAATTAGTGACCTTTAAAGAAGTTCTTTCTAGTCCCAGCAAGTTATCCCTTCATTAGTAAAGTTCTTAAATCCCAGTAGAGAAGAATGTGCTTTGCAAAAATATTTTTTCTTTTATTGAAAATAGATTTTCAAAAAATATATATATTCTGATTACAATTTCCCCTCCCTCATCTCCTAGTTTCTCCCACCTCCTCTCCCATTCAGATCTCCCTCTTTCTGTTTCTCCTTAGAAAACAAAAAGCCTTCTAAGGGATAATAATAAAATAAAATATAGTAAGATAAAACAAAAACATGTGCATTGGAATAGGACAAACAGAAGGAAAAGAGCTCAAGAAGAGGCATGAACAGATACAGACTCGGAAACACACATTCGCACAATTCAGGAATCCCATAAAAACAAAACCAGAAGCCATAATATATATACCAAGAACTGTAGGGGGAGAGAAAGTAAAAAATAAAAAAGGATAAAAGTTAAACAAAGAAAATGCCTTGACATGACATTATGAAATAAGAAACCTCCAAAGACACTGCTGAATTCATTTTCTGTTGACTATCTACTGCTGGGCATGTGGTCTACCCTTCAGAGTGGTTTGTTTCCCCAATGAGACTCCCTTGGAGTCAAAGTTTTATTTTCGTATGTAAATGGTTATCAGTTGGAGATAGCTTCTGGGCTAGGGATGGGGGCATGTGTCCACTTCTCCTTTCAGATCTAGGAACCCATCGGGTGCAGACCAGCGAAGGTCCTGTGCATGCTGCCTCAATTTCATTGGGTTGTTGGCCAAATGGGAACACCCAAACCACTCAGGCTATTGCCGAGGCTATTGGTGGCTCTCCACTAGCTGACAGCAGGTTCCTGTTGCTGAAGACATACCCATACAACCCACTGAACATGGAGAGGTTGAGACGGTGCCTACCTATAGTCTTTGTCCATACTGGCTTAGTATTCTTGGTATCAGAAAGTGTTCTACATGCTACCAAAGGAGAAACATAAACAACAGCCCAGCTACAAACACTTTGACCTACAGTGGTGTCCTGCCTGCAAGATATGCCAGGGCAATGGTGGTACAAACTCGTGGGAGTAACCAACTAATATCTGATTTGACCTAAGGCCCACTCCAGGAGATAGAACCCATACCCAGCACTGTTTGGGTGACTAAGAACCTGAGACTAGATAGCCCATAGACCTAGGGTAAAGCCAAATACTACTGTTCTACTAAAGGAATTTAGTAATAAAATGACTCCTAATGACATTCTGCTGTGGTCACAGATCAGTGCCTTGTTCAGTCATCAGAAAGCTTGTAGCTGGCATTTTTGTTGGGCCACCAACCAGCTCCCAAATAAAGATATAGAGACTTATTATTAATTATGAATGCTCAGCCTTAGCTTAGACCTGTTTTTAGCTAGCTTTTCGTTTTTTAACTTAAATTAACTACTCATTTCTATTAATCTCTGGGCTGTCCTGAGGCTCAGCTCTGTACTGTTCACCCTGCTTTGCTGCTTCCCCTGGGTCTGTCTGGCTGGCCCCTATCTGGTTGGCCCCATCTAGCTGGCTGGCTCCCCTTTTCTCTCTGCCCACCAGCCCTTCCTATCCCTCCTCTGCCTAGCTATTGGCCATTCAGCTTTTCATTAGACCAATCAGGTGCCTTAGGCAGACAAGGTGAAACAGCAACACATCTTTACATACTTAAACAAATGCAGCATAAACAAATGCAAAGATATTTATATAATTAAACAATTATTCTGCAACATAAACAAATGGACAGATCTTTACATAGTTAAACAAATATTCTATTTCACAACAGAAGCTTCTTCCTACAGAAGATGGGAACAAATACAGAGACCCACAGGCAGACAATATGCAGAGAGTGAGAGACCTTGCAACACTCAGCCCTAAATGGGATTCCTCCATCAAGTCCCTCCCCTCAGGACTCAGGGAACTCTGCAGAAGAGGAGGCAGAAAGACTGTAAGAGCCAGAAAGAATGGAGAACAGCAAGGAAACAAAGCCTTCTAAACACTCACAGGACCAATGCACATATGAAAATTTTTTTTTCTTCATTCAAGTGAGGCATGCTTCACTTTGTCATCTAATACAAAGAATAAGTAAACACAACTGCTCTCCAGGCTGGTCACCCCAGCCTCTAGGCCTTAGGCCCAGGAGCACAACCTGTGCCCGTATACCCCCACCCACTGCAGCCCTAGTTGTAGGCCAGCAGGAAAGCTCCTGTGGGCAGGCCTGACCACCACCACTCCCCACTGGACCCTGCAATCTGCAAGTCCCACTCTGTCCCCCAAACCTACCCATCCCCCTGAGACCCCAGAAGCTCCCTGAGACACAAGCACTGCCAGTGTCAATTGGACCAAGAGTGGCTCCCTGAGACACAGACACTGTTAGCACTGATTGGAGGAAGAGATGGGTAGATGGCAATGCAGGAATACATTGAACAACATAGAGAGCAATATGGCACCACCAGAACCTAGTGGTTCTACATCAGCAAGACCTGAACATCCCAACGTTGAAGAAGCAGAAGAAAACGACCTTAAAAATGATTTTATGAAGATGATAGAGGCATTTCAAGAGGAAATGAAAAACTCACTTAAAGAAATCAAGGAAAAGACAAATAAAAAATTAGAAGAAATCAACAAATCTCTTAAAGAAAGTCAAGAAAACGAAGAAAAAGCAATCAAACAGGTGAAGGAAACAGTTCAAGACTTGAAAACTGAAATAGAGACAATAAAGAAGATACAAACTGAGGGAATGCTAGAAATGGAAGAGTAAACGAACAGGAGTGACATATGCAAGCATAACCAACAGAATGTAAAAATGGAAGAGAGAATCTCTGGTGTTGAAGATACGAAAGAGAAAATAGATTCGTTAGTCAAAGAAAACATTAAAGCCAAAAAGAAATCATAACATAAAACATCCAGAAAATCTGGGACACCATGAAGAGACCAAACCTAAGAATAATAGGAATAGAAGAAGGAGAAGAATACCAGCTCAAAGGCACAGAAAATATATTCAGCAAAGTCATAGAATAAACTTTCCCAACCTAAAGAAAGAAATGCCTATGCAAGATATACGAAGATTATAGAATACCAAATAGACTGGAACCCCCCCCCCAAAAAAAGTTCCCTCACCACATAATAAACTACTAAACATACAGAATAAAGAAAGAATATTAAGAGCTGCAAAGGAAAAAGGCCAAGTAACATCAGAATTACACTCAATTTCTCAATGGGGACTCTGAAAACCAGAAGGCCTTGGACAGATATTATGCAGACACTAAGAGGCCATGGATACTAGCCCAGACTATTATACCCAGCAAAACTCTCAATCACCATAGACAGAGTAAACAAGACAGTCCATGACAAAACCAGATTTAAACAATACCTATCCACAAATCTAGCCCTACAGTAAACACTAGAAGGAAAAATCCAACCTAAGGAATTTAGATGCACCCATGAAAACACGGCAATAGATAATCCCACACCAACAAATCCCAAAGAAGGGAAACACACACACTACCACCAAAAAATAACAGAAACTAACAATCACTGATCATTAATATCCCTTAATATCAGTGGACTCAATTTACCTATAAAAAGACACAGACTAGCAGAATGAATACAAAAACAGGATCCATCTGCTGCATACAAGAAACATACCTCAACTTCAAAGACAGACACTACCTCAGAGCAAATGGTTGGGAAAAGACTTTCTAATCAAATGGACTAAAGAAGCAAGCTGGTGTAACTATATTAATATCTAACAAAACAGACTTTAAACTAAAATCAATCAAAAGAGATCAAGAAGGACATTACATATTCATCACAGGAAAAAATCCATCAAGATAAAGTCTCAATTCTGAATTTATGCCCCAAATACAAGGTCATCCAAATATGTTAAAAAAGAACATTACTGAAGTTTAAATCACACATCAAACCCCACACACTAATAGTGGGAGATTTCAACACCCCACTCTCACCAAAGGACAGTTCTGACAGAAAGAAACTTAACAGAGAAATAAGGAAACTAGTAGATGTTATAGTGGGAGATTTCAACACCCCATTCTCACCAAAGGACAGTTCTGACAGAAAGAAACTTAACAGAGAAATAAGGAAACTAGTAGATGTTATGATTCAAATGGACTTCTCCAGAAGGCTGGGTGTGCTGACACAGGGCCTGGACTCCTCCAAAGTCAGTGATCAGGGAAGGAGGGAGAGAACACACTGATTCTGTCTATCTTCTGACCTTGCACACTGGACAACCATTCCCACCACAAGAGCAAGAACTGTCACCCAGATGCTCAGGTCATTGCTTCTTCTGATCCTATCTGACCTTTTCACCAGGAACCACACCTGCCTGCTCAGACTCAGCCCAGGCACAGGGGACCAAGAACTGATTTCAGCTGTCATGGCTTGCCCTCTGTGATGTCAGCCCACATTTCCATGTGTTTGTATTCTCTGAGCAGGAGCAGGATTGGGAGAAATGCCACCACCCTTTATAAGCTGACAGAGCTCTTAAGTCAGAGAACCAGCAATGAGCACGAGATAAACTGTTAATTTTGTTACTCAGCACCAGGCAATTGGGAAAGGCTGTCTAGTTTCTTTATTCCCTAGCACTGGACTTCTGGCAAGGCTGGCCAGTGTCCCGAGATGGGAAGACAGTGCGCTGGGTAGCTGAATTATGTCGTTACATGGTGGGCTGCTGTGCAGCAGTGAGAAGTGTAGAGCCATCACTATGGCAACAGCACAGGGCTGCCTCGGAACAGCAAGTGCTAGAAGCCACACACAAAGTGTTCATCCTTCGTGATTGCGGGTATATGGCTTTCACAATCACGTATGCTCTTGATTTCACAATCAAGATTCACAATCAGACTTGCTCTCTAGAAATCAGGGTGCTGGTTTGTGTGGAAGGGTGGACAGTGCCTGTCAACAGGAAGAAGGGGCCTTTAGAGAGCTGATAATGCTTTATTACTTGATCAACAGCACCAGTTACGTGACCTTGTTTATTAGAGGATATGTGTTGAGTTTTACACTTAGAATTTGCATACATTCCTATATTCATGGTAACTCAAATAACAGCTTTGCATTAAGAAGCCTATAGTGTAGGAATCATTTTCCCATCACTGATTGTCCTATTTATAAACTCCAGGTTGCAGTAAATGTGTAATGTGCTAAGTCATGGGGACATTTTAACATACAACTGAACAGCCCGAGGATTTTTGGAAGTACTGTTATCTCAGGGATATCATGACCATTTGGGGAAACTTCGCCATCTTCTCCTCTTCATACTTTTCCTTTCGTGTTGGAACGGTGTCCCAGTTCATAGAGGTAATGGCCATCAATGACCTCTTCATGGATCTTGCAAACACAGCATCTTCAGGGTCATCAAACACTGTCCTGCAAAGGTAGCAATTATATCAAAAACAGGTAGGTCTGACCAACATTATATTGTGTATGATTGTGTCTGTGTGTTGAGGGTGGCATCCAGGGCCTTATGCACCCACAGAAGTATTTCACCTCTGTGTATTGAGGGTGGCATCCAGGGCCTTATGCACCCCACAGAAGTGTTTTACCGCTGGAGTGCACCAGAAGCCCTAACTTTGTATTTAAATGAACACATTGCCTAAGTCCCCACAGCATTGCAAGCTTTAATGCATTGACTTTCAGGCCAAGTGACACAATTTGTATTGTGTACGTGGTTCATTTTTAAAGTGGAATGTCTGGATGTATTTCGGGATCTATTATAAAAGTCTCACATTCTCATGTATTCATAGTGGGAAACTATTAAACAACAAACTGTAAATACTTTTGGCATCATGCATATTAATATTGTAAACATTTTATTTTGAGATTATTTCTCCACATATCTTGCATATGATGAGAATATTTTCTAACATTGAACTCAAAGAAAATATTCATACATAGAAAAGTAATGGTTTCTAAATTCATTAGTATTCATGAATTTGAAATGTCCTCTGTAGAATTAATGAACTATTTGCTTTGGGAAATGTAAGTTCTAGTGAATGTAAAATGTTAATCTATATGATAATTGCTTCTACTGAACATATTTAGTGGCAAAGCAAACAAGCCAAGTTCCTCATTTGGAATAACTAATAGTGCTTAACAAGTTTTAATATCTTTACATCTAATCATCTACTTATTTATTTGAGGTTATAATCATCACATTAAAAGCCTGAACATGTCAAATATGAGCACATAGCTGGAACTCATTTGTCAAAGAAAAACAACCATTTTTCTACCTATTGAAAGGCTAATACTTTTTAATTAATTAAAATTTATTTTAGAAGATAGGGATAATTTAGAAATGAGACAATTATGAAACAGTCTGACAATAAAACCAAAGATATAATTTTTTAAAAAAAAATCACACTTACTTGTCAACATTATCCCCAAATTCGAAATCTAAAAATAAAATTCTAAATTAGTATTTTTCAAACATTTAGTCAGCACTCAAAAATAATGAGACAATATTGGATTTCTCTTCAAGTAAACTGACAGAAATGCCTTTATAACTAGTATAAAATTGAACATTTCCCTTAGGTAAGGCATTTTGCTGTAGACTTTTGGGTCAGTCTTTAATATAAGGCAAACCTCAGACCCTTGAAAACAATACGCTGAATCAGCTTAGCTGACCATGGAGGCCAACTGGGTGCTTTTATAAGCAAGGTCCACACATAGAAGGAAACCCTTTTTTCTTCTGATGAGCACATGCTTCTGTAAGAGAATAGCTGGGACAAGTATTTAGGGCCATCTCAACCATTTGGACTCTTGGCGTGAACTTCAAAGAAAGAACAAATCCAAGATCACAAGACTCAATGTTCTAAAGCTTTAGTGCTGAAGGGCCAGAGCTCAGAGCCTGGGGCTTGGGGTAGCTCCCAGTCTCCCGTGGCCTTGTTTATTCCTCTCCAGAAGGCCTGGTACCACGCCAAAGACAGAACTTTCCTACACCTGTCTGGTCACTAAAGCCTTCAGCATAAGCTCTTGCCAGTCCACAAGAGAGGGCACAGCCAAGAGCATGTGGCATCATGCCTTTCACAAGTGGCTGCCTGAGTCTCCTGGCCTTTCTCCCCTCCCTGGGCTCTTTCCCCCTCTCCACAGTGTTATTGAGATACAATTGAAAAGGAACAATTACACAGATTTATGGTGTGCTACTATGTTTTTGGCACCTAACCCCCCCTCCCACCCCCCCCACCCCCACACAATGTGGAATAACAGTTAATTCACATGTCTGGCATCTCACACAGCTACCATTTTTCTTTTTTGGGTATGCATACGGTAAGTACATTTAGGAACCCCCCTTTTAGCAGATTGTTAACCATAGTTGCATTACATTAGATTGCCAGAATTTGGTCATCACAAACAGTTGGGACTCTTTGACCCAGATCTCCTCATCCCTCCCTCTGACCAGCAAAGCCACAGTTCGAAGAGTGATCTTCCTGTTCAGGGAGACCACAGAGCAAAAGACCACAGAGGAAGACACCCAATATCCTGACCTAGTGTCTACATGTGTGTTCACAGGTGTGCATACCCTTGCAGTTATGTGAGTTATGTGCATACACCACACACATATACACACACACACACACACACACACACACACACACACACACACACACACACACACACACACAGAGCTCTGTTATCACTCCACATTACAACTTCAGGGTTGTTTGTTTGTTCTGGGTTTTCAAGACAGGGTTTCTCTGTGTATCAGTCCTGGCTGTCCTGGAACTTGCTCTGTAGACCAGGCTGACCTTGAACTCATAGAGACCCATTAGCCTCTGCCTCCTGATTGCTGGGATTAAAGACATGTGCCACTACTGCCTGACCCACAACTTTACGTTTTTAAATAGGACAAATATATCAAGAAGTGAGGCTATAGTGGGATAGTTTGTATTGGATGAATGTCTGGTAATACAATATTCCCCTGTGAATAACCATTAGAGGTCTCTTCTGCATTTGCTATTATAAAAGGCATCACAGAGAGCAGTCTCATGTTTTTCTTGCCCATGGATATACTTGTGTAGGAGAGTTTTCAAATTGCATTCTTATGTCAAATGCTGAAAGGTACTGCAGTCTTGTCTCCAAGCAAATTGACCCAGTTTATGAATTCATAAAACCTCCTTCTTTTTCCTTTAAAGATTTTTCCTCCATGTTGGAGGAAAATGGTACCCTACACTTCTTTGGCTATACTCACTGTATCCATTTCTTACTTTCTAGAAATGACTTGTTTATGTTGTCATTTTATTTACTGGAGTTTTATTTTATTTGGCTTTAACTGTGTGCGTGTATGTGTGTGTATAGGTGCACTCACCTGCGTGTGCATGGGTGGAAATGATGTATGTGTGTACATAGCTATATTCGCCTTGCCTGTGTGTGGATGGAAGCAGAGTCCTGCTTCAGGGGTCCTCCTCCATCATCCTCCACCTCATCTTTGAGACAAGGTGTCTCATGGGAACTGTAGCCCATCATTCCAGCTCAACTGGCTGGCCAGCACGCCTTGGGGGTCTGACTATCTCCACACTGCCTTTATTCCCTCCAGTGCTGGAGTTACGGGCACATGCTGTCACATGTTGGTCCTGGGAATTCTAACTCAGGTCCTCATGCTTGTCCATGTGAGTTTTGTTATTGTTATTTGTTCGTTTTTACAGGATCTTATTCTATAGCCCAGGCTGACCTGGAACACATGATCCTCTTGTCTCAGCCTCCTGATACAGGAGTACATCATGCCCTGCCCTGAGAGAAGTTTTTGTTTTGTGTTTCTTTTAGTGTTGGAGATCAAACCAGCTTCGGGCATGCCTGGCAAGCACTTGGCCACTGGCATCGGACTTAGCCCTCCTACTGGGATTAAATAGAATTGTGAAAGTCCGTTAGGGATCGTGAGGATTAATTTCCACCTGTTACATGTTGCAATGCTTTTTCCAATTTGTGTTTTAATTTTGACCCTATGCTGCATTATAGCTTTTACTTTTATGTAGATAAATCTGTCAATGTTTCTTCTAGTATCACAGAACTTTACACTAACTCTATTTACCTAGTCCCTGTGTCCTTTGCTATGTGAGAAAAATAAATCTGTTTGGGTGATGTTACATAAAGTAAGTGCCAATGAAGAAAACATAACTGAAATTATCTGTAATATTTCTGTGTGACACCTTGGATGTGAGTATAACCAAGATGTTGAGAGGGTTCATTTCTGGCTGGCAAAATTACAAATGATCTTCATTCCTTCTTAATATTTTCCCATATCATAAAAAAGTCGACCCTTCATTGAGGGAACTGTCTTGTTTTGTTGGTAATAACAATGACAGCTAATTTTCTGTCCTTTTTACTGCACTGGATCCTGGAGAAGAAGGGCTTCAGGGTATCCTTTCACTATTACCGTACTATAACTCAGGTAGCACAGATGAGTGAAGATGAAAATCATGTTATTAACTGCAACAGTGGAAATATGACGTCAAAATGTAATGTTGGAAATTAATTAGGAGCTACTCCACTCTACAGTTCTTAGAGTTCTTTTGGAAATCAAGTGTTCCCAAAGCTTACCGCCTTTTAATCTCCTTCTCATTTTTACACAGTACCTGAGGGAAGTCTTTGAACTCGTTTTTGCCTTATTGGTAACTTGGGGTTCCAAGAGGCATCCACTCTTCCTCCAAATGCTATTGATTGAATGATATGAGTTTTTTTATGGTCAAAAATGGTAATCATGGATCTTCTCTCTTTCTCTGTAACTTCTAATAAAGACAAAAAAGAGATAGTATTTAGAATTCTAAATGAACAAGGCATACAGTGATTACAAAACAGATCTGAGCAACATGACTTGCCTGACTAGCCAAATCAGTGAGCTGTGGTTTAGGAGAGACCCTGCCTCGATATACAAGGAGGAGAGAGATCAAAGAAGACAGCCAATGTCAACCTCTGACCTTCACATGCATGCACATGCACCAGCACATACAAGTGTGCCCACATATGAGCATACACCTACACACAGAAATACATTTAACTTACATATGATTATCTTGTTGAAACAGAGTTTATCAAGAGATTTCAGGGGTATTAATATAATCTCACAAGCACTCAGTAGATGTCCTCATGTCACACAGTGGAGCTCAATCATGTGGTCTAACACACTCCTGAGGCTCTAGCACATATCAGCACATGACTGGCATGGCAACAGGAGGCACCCTGCCCCTCACCACTGCTGGAGACAGTCAGGTCTTGATACATCCTCATGGAAAGACTTCACATAGTAACAACCCATGAAGGATATTCTGTAGACTTAGAAAGATGATGGGATAAGGGATAGATCACATTGTACTTGGGCTGAATTAGGCCTCAAAAGTGAACAATGAGCATGGGTTGTGCATATGAGACTTTTGCGAAGCAAACATGCTAGTTTACATGAATAGATATGTATAAGAATTCACTGTTGAATAATGTGAACTTATAGAATTTCAAAGAAGATAATTTTTATAATTTAAGACTCAAGAAATTTAGTATAAATCATTTTTGAGATAATAAACCAAAGTGTCAGGAGGTAAACAATTTGGCATCAGGAGCAGGAGAGCTGGCTCAGCGGTTAAGAGCACTGACTGCTCTTCCAGAGGCTCAGGTTCCCTTCTCAGCGCCCACACGGTGGCTCACAACCATCTGTAACTCCAGTAGGAGGGGATCCAACGTCTTCTGGCCTCTCTAGGCAGAAGGCATATGTATGGTGGTGCGCAGACACACACATGTCCATATAACATAATGAGCAAACAAAAAACCAATTTGGCATCCACTGTGCTAATATCCAAAGCCTGAGCTGAAGGAGGGAAGTGGTCCACCCACTGGGCAACCTGGCCCTCCTAGCAAAGCAGAGCAGACCTGAGTTCCTGAGCGAGGGCAGATTTCAGAGCGCTGACACGTCTTAGTGAATAACAGAGCAGCTCCCATTCATAATTAGTTGGCAGTTTTTGATGTGGACAAATTGTGCCTTGCCTTTTTTAAAGCACTGATTTACCAGACAGATTCTAGATGTTTCTATAGGAAAGAGGAATCCTTACGTTTCCGGTCAAGCAGCTTCACTCCTGGAAGGTGGTAGATTATATACAAACGGTATAAGTTATATTGGGACAAAGGGTTTTGGTACAGACCTGCAAAGGAAGAATCCAAAATAAAATGTCAGATTTCACAATAGTTCCTTTTTACCACCTATTAAGATAGAAGATGTAAGACTTGTGGACAGAAAAAAGGATAATCACTGAGAGATGAGCAACTGTACCTATTGTCCAGCACACAGTCTCATCACGCATTTCCTTATTTAGAGCACTACTGATTGCCTTATCTCTTGTATTAATTAATTAATTCATTCATTCATTCAAAGTTTTCGATTGCTACTATCCATCAGAAATAGTGCTAGCTTGACTCATATCTGGCACAAAAGAGGAAAACTTGGAATGTTCATAGGTAAGTTTGACGAAGAAGAACTAGACACTAGCTCTATGAAAGTCTTAAGGCTGCTTTTCATAAAATACCACTTGGAATTGTTCTGGTCTCTGGAGTAATGGGGGGGGGATGGGGGGGCAGGCAGTGATGCAGTGCACTGTCCTAACAGGTTTCTTCCTGAGCCTCACTGTTGCTGTGCTCAGAGGATGCACATTCCACCGGCACCTAGAGATCTCAGGAGCAGAGCTGCACACATGTGGATGCTGCATCTCATCTCACTTCCATCCGCAAGACTCCGTGGCTAAGGGATGGGTAATGAACCTAATTCTGCATGAGAGTGGTGGGGAGGGAGAGGCGGGTGGGAACGGCTCAGAGGATCCTGGTACTTCTGACACAACCATCCCTCAAGAATTAGCACAGAGGGATTTTTAAAAATGCTTCAACTAGAAATTTTGAGTGTTTTATTTTATAGTGACATATTTTGTCTGCTCATTCTTCCATAACATTAAATGAGACTATTTAGACACATTGTGAAATGAAGTTTTTTGTGATTTCCAGTGTGGCATCTTCAAAATGCTTCTGAAAAACACATAAAGCGGGGAACCGCTAGATGGCAGTAGAGCAGAGCGCTCCAGCTACTGCCCAGCCGTACCACTCAACGAAACGTGGCTCCTAGACTACCATAAAACACAGAGGGTTTTAATAAATGGGTGATGATATCAAGCATCTGACGCCCATAAGAACTGATCAACACTTAGAATGCATAGTTTGCAACATAAAGAAGATTGGAGAGGCATGTTTGAAAAACAACAAACTCATTCAAAACTGAAGAGAAACAATACCTGGATGTTATTCTCTGTCAGTAAAACACATTGAGATATGTGTGGTATCAACACAAGCTCTTCTGGCTAGTCAAATCCTTACATGAGCTTTAAAGGGAGATGAAGTCAGCAAGGCAGAGACCCGCGGCACAGTGAACACGAGTTAATGGACAAGGGAAGGTGAAGGAAGATGTAGAGCCGAGCCGGAGGACCAAAAAACGTGTGTATTGGGGGAAGTTAGAGGAAAAGACAAAGAAAAAATTCCAGACCAGTCACACACACACACACACACACACACACACACACACACACACACACACACACGGAACTTAAAGTGGAAACAAGTGGTTATCAGCATGGGAGAGGGAACTGCATGGATGAACATCGAACGGATTCGAAAGGACAGATTTGAAAAGGCACACAGAGTCACCAACTAGCCTAGGCTGGGGACCCCGGGGGTCCTCCTTTCTCTGCTGCCCCAGAGCTGGAATCTCAGGCAGGCACCACCACTCTCCACGGGTTTCGGTGGGTTCTGGGGCCAGGACTCAGATCTCAAGCTTGTGAGATGAGCTTTGACAGCCATTGCTAATTTCACCTAACTAAACAAAGCATCGCAATCAGCAGCCCAGCACCGCATCGCTGGTGAGCAAGGCAGCCAGATAGCGAAGGCCACGCGCTCAGGGAGGTCCATGCCATGCCATCTGAAAACAGAAACCATGGGGCAGAAAGGCAGAAAGCAGAACAGCCACCTAGCCTCTGAGGACGTTTCCCGAGAAAAACAAGTTGATCTGAGTAATTTGGAAGACATTTCCCCATTATTCTTCACTTTTTTTTCTAGCTCTTGCATTTTAGAAGGAAGCAAACTTATTCTTGACTCCCTTTCTCCCCACCTCCCACATTTATGCTAGTAAGTATTAAACATTCTGGATTTATGCATTTTGGATGGCTGGTCCTAAAATTACCATAAATTAAGTTTCTGAGCTATGAAATCAGTTTCCTGTGTCTGAGTGTTCTGAAAGCCTTGTGTGATGTATGGGCACATTCCTGCAGCAGCTATGAGGCAAAATCGCTTACACTTTCGCTTTCAATAGGTTAATACTATTTAATCCACCTTTCCCTCTAGGCTACTCATGAAGCACACCTCAGTGGCGCCAGCACTGTCTTGCTTATCTTAATTTGGAAGTCGGAGTCTAAGCAATTTACATTTACCCAATAATATATCAAAACGTCTCTGCCACCTTACGGCACCAACTTGAGTTAGATGAGTCACACGTGTGGAGTTCCTTAATGAGAGATGAGAGGAAGACAGAGAATGAAAGAGTCATCTAAATAATTGGCTCCCACTGATTAAAAAAAAAAAAAACAACTTTTAAAGCAGAACTTAAAAGTCATCATGGAAACAGACCCACACAGCCTTGTCTTTTTGGTTGTGAGCCTTGGCCTCTGACAGCTGAGCCATCTCTCCAGCCCCAAGACCCAAATATTCTCAAAACACTTTAGAAAAAAGTTGATGTGGACTGGGCTCATGGCTGGGGGGGCTACAGTCCTTGTCTAGTGTGAAGCCCCGAGTTCAGTCCTCAGCATTCCATAAAACAAGCTGTAGTAATATACACCCTCTAGAATCAAAGCCCAGTGAAGGTGGAGGCAGGAGCATCACAAGGTCAAGGTCATCCTTGGCTACATTTGCAGTTAGACATCAGCCTAGGCTACATGTGAGACCTTTTTCTTTTCGCCAAAGGGGAAAACAGCTGATATAATCAACAAAGAGACAACACATCTGTTTTAATAAATGAGGATAATGGTATGAGGGAATTAAAAACTCATACAGAGTATCACCCGGTTAAAGGAAGTTCAGCTTGCTAATCAGTGATCAGGCAGCTGGATTTTGAAGTCACACCAAGCTGGATTGCCATCTCTCCTGTTAGCACTATCTGCTTCTAACCAAGTTTGTGGGCTGTCACTCAACAAACCGAGTAAGGCAATCATCCTCGGGTTAGCAGGAAAACTGGGATAGAGCAGAGATGGAAAGGGGAGCAGCAAAGCTTCTCTTCCTCACATAGGCATCCGGGGACCATCTAGGAGTTCTGTTGGCCTCATAGACTGTCTGGTTGGGAAGAGGCAGCCCAGCACGCTCAAGGGTGTCAGAAGTGGACTCAGAAGAAGAGTCCCTGAGGTCCACATCCTTCCTAGCATCCTTCTTCTCCTTGCCCTTCATCAACAGCTGAGAATAGCACATTGCTGATGGCAAGAAGAGAGAACGCTGGAGGGTAGGACCTGTGGAAACACAGGGCCCCTCTAACATGACCGCCCTCTGAAACTCCTCCACTAGGAAGGTCTTGCCTGTGAGGAAGTGCAAGTTGCTAAGTGGATTTAGTGAAATGGAGAAAAGCTGAGAGACGACAGCAAAGTTTAAGAGCAAAGGAAAGAGCAAAGTTTAAGTGCCGTATTGATGTTTTTCATTTAGTGTCGTGTGCAGTTAGCTTTATGTCAACCTGATACAAGCTAGAGCTCTCTGAAAGGAGGACATCTCAACTGAGAAGACGCCTCCATCCTCCAGGATGTAGGAAAGCCTGTAGAGCATTTTCTTAACTAGGGATTGGTGTGAGAGGGCCCAGACCACTGTGTCTGGGGATGTTTCTGGGCTGGTGGTCCTGGGATATATAAGAAAGCAGGCTGAGCAAGCCATGTGGATGAAGCCGGTAAGCAGCACTCCTCCATGGTCTCTGCATCAGCTCCTGCCTCCAGGTTCCTGCCCTGTTTGAGTTCCTGTCACGACTTCCTCCAGGGATGAACAGAAATGTGGACATACAAGCCAATAAACCCTTTCCTTCCCAGCTTGCGTTTGGTAATGGCGTTTCATGACAGCAGTAGAACCCTAACTAAGACATGCTGGTAAAAGAGCAGGCCGACTGACGGGGAGAAGAACTCATTCCTGGTACAGTAGATCGAGACACGGGAGGATTCCCTTTTGCAGTTTGGAGAGCAGAAGGGAAGAGGAAGCCACAACTGCACAGGAGGGTGTGGAAAGGTAGACCTCCTGGAGAGCTGAGGTGGGGCCCTGCCTGGCCTGGAAGACAGAAATTCCAAGCACCAGACCTCACACTCTGCTTCTGGCTTCAGGCCTCCCTGAAGCTCCCAGCCCTCCGTCTCCTGGGCAATTGTTGGCAATTTTTCTCATAAATGCCAAAGGAAGGTGCAGTGTTGAAATGGGTTGGAGCCTTACCCCCAGGCTGTTTTCTCACCCTCGGAAGAACTTATGATTGAAGTAGTAACACTTTAGATTTTTACATGGTTTTCTTACTTGAAAAGAGAAAAATTACAACATTTGAAAATGCATAGTTTTCTCATTTTAGGGAGTTCAGTCCATTCTAAGATGGCAAACGAAGCTCCTAAGAACCCAGTGTGAGGACATCACAGCACATATATGTCTGCTGAGTGCACACTTTCCTCATGGAATATCTGCAACCGGAATAGGGCATTTCCAGAAAGTGCTTTCTTTTTAACTAAATTCAAGGAAATGACCCCATGACAAGTTCCTCAGGTGGGACATGTTACTGTAACTTGGATGATATCATCATGGTTTTAAGTAGAGGTGATTTTAACAGTCATGACAAGTAATAACATGGATGTTTTATTGCCAGACTGGCCTTTAAAGAACATGGGTATTTTCTCCCTAACCCAGGCCTGACTCCTGTGTGCTCATATGTACCCTTGACACCAGGACCTGGGTTGGATTTCAGGTACATTCAACTCTGAACCAGGCATCTTGGTTCAATGCACAGCCCTGTTCCCTACAAAGGCCAACATTACATATTGTCCTTCAGATGTTGTTTTATAGCACAACTTTACTTAAGTGATTAAGTTTTACCTGCAGCAAATTGTACAAATAGTTTTTCACCAAGCTCCTTCATGAATCTAAATCATTAGTCTACAAGTTATAAAATTGTAAGCCCAATAGAAGCCCAGATCAGCCTTTTCTTCTACTTTGGGATCCGTTAATAAATACAGAACAGATGGCAAATGGATGATTCTCTATGCATCAAATGAATAAATTATAAACTTTGAATGAATGAATCAATCGATAAATGATCAATAAAACAAGGCATAGATGTGTTTTAATACTAGTAATTTGATAAATCTCTGAACCTTGTATCTTCACCACTGAGGAGGGAATAATTCTAACCTCATCATAGAATTGCTGTGAAAATTTAAATAGTATTATAAGAAAACAATTTCTTAACAGGAAGGACATTAGAAATATTACTATGGTGATTATTGTTTAAAGCAGCAGTTGCATTGAGTCTATTTACCACTTAGTAGAATTTCTAGACTCTAAGCAACTTCTTAATTATTTTATTTATATCCTACATATACAATAATTTTGTTTTCCTGTTTCAAAGTGGCATCAATGACAAGAACTTCTTCTTAAGAATTGCTTTGGAGAATTATCTCAGTGTTTGAAGAGATTCTGGGTGATAGCTATGAGCCCATTTTATAGAAAAATAGTGATAGTAAGAGGTCTAGCATAGACCTAGATTGGGCCTAGCATATTCCTTAAATTGTGGAAACATTTGATTGACATGGGAGGGTTAGATAAATAGGCAGGTCATTCCAAGACTCTGATGGAATATCATAATTCGGAAATATTTCTAATGGCAGGTGGCCTCAGCACATCTCTAAGGTAATCACTGACTTGCCAAGAACTTTGTGCAATTTTGTGACTTTCACGATTTGGATTTTTAAAAGTCTACTTTTGGTCCCATGAGTCAATTCTCCTTAAATACATGAGATGCTCCTGATGACAGAGAAAAGCTACAGGAGCTTGAGTTCCTCTACATGCTGATCTGATCCGAACATTCACCATCAACATTAGCTTACACAATTCTGAAAGACAAATAAGGGAATATGCCTGTGTCTCGACAAGCAGAGGTCTCCAAGCTCAGGTCTGCAAACCTCAATGGTCACGAGTCTTTCTACCTGTGACACCTGGAATCCTCTGCCTTGTCTTGGAGCTGTGTGCATGTTTATTAACCCTTCAAGACTATAAGCACATTGAGAGGTGAACTTCGCTGATTATTTTTGATCTATTCCTAAATATATACAGCAGTCAGTGTCATGCTGGGCACGACTCAGCGGATGTGAATGAAGGCTGTTTCTCAAACATGGGGAAACTTCGACGTTCTTTTTTTGTTTGTTAATTTACTTTATTAATATACACCTCAATGTCACTTATACTTACCATTAAGATGCATAGTTCGTACATATTCAGTAGTGCAATGATTCAAATCACTTGTTCTCATAATCAATTTTAAAACATTTGATCACCCCAGAGAAACACATACCCCTTCCATTTCACCCATCACCTGGAATTCCCTCATCTCCCCAGGCTGAGATGAAACCCACTTAAGAACATCTGCCTCTCACCTCTGCCTGTCTAGCTGTGCCTGGTAGAGATAGCTCCTATAATTGGAACGATACAACTGACTTGGGATGAAACCCCAAGAGTAGATTGGGGCACACAGATCCCCACCTGTTACTTTTGCCGTTTTTATCTTTCATGACCTATATCATTCCACTAATAATTCTTTTCTAGCTGTTGCTCTTTCAAAAGTATGTGTTAAAAAAACAAATAAAATCTAGTCACATTCTAGAGAATGGGATGTGCATTCCAGCAGCAAGCTGGCTTCCCTAAACCGGACTTGGGAAGGAAAATAAACATCATGCGCACGATCACTGTCTTAATCTACGGGCACAGAGAAGTGCAGTGTGTACTTAGGGTCTTCAGATCCTGCATCCCCTTCAGCTCCTTCACCGTAGCGTCGATGCTGGTTAGCTCATTGTGGTGCAACATAAGAATATGCAATGAAGGCAGATTATGCAGGCCTGAAACACAAAAGGGTTTGGGGTGAATTGTACTTTTTAAATTGACAAATACAAATAAGAATCTTTTCATAGTAAATAGATGTTGTAACTAAGCAAGCAAATGCATTATAGCTGGTAAAAAGAGGAAATGCCTATCAATGATATCCTGAATTATGGTTAAGCATACAGCAATGAAAACTGACTGTGACATGGGGCTGCGGAGTCATTTCTTGCTACTGTGGTGTGGGGCTGCAGAGTCATTTCTTGCTACTGTGATGTGGGGCTGCGGAGTCATTTCTTGCTACTGTGACATGGGGCTGTGGAGTCATTTCTTGCTATTGTTATTGCTTCAGTTGTTTTCCTGTGGCAACGATTTGGATTGTTTAAATTTCATGTTTGAGTTATATTCTCTCTGTGTTTTGCAATGTGTGTGTCTGTACATGTAAACCAATGTTACTTAGAAATACAGTGGAAATCAAAGGACAATTTCTCATTCATTCACTGCATCCTTTGCAAATTGCTAGGCTATTTGCAGGATGAGGAACCATATATATATTCATTTCATTTTTGTTTTCCTGAATTGCATATTTTAATTCATTTTTTTAACATAAATGAAAGTGGGATGAATCTGTGTGATAATCAAATTATAGTTAAATTGGAATGTTTCCTTCCTTGCCAGTATAAGAGCTTATCATGGGTGTCAAAGCGTTTGACATTTTGGTTCCATGGTTATTTTTATAGCCAAGTGCTTTCTCCAGCAATCCATCGTGTCTCCTGATCACAACCTGTCGTACACTTTATACCTGGTTTGAGACTCTCAGCATAGAGACTGTTACAAAATTAAGTCAGTGGAAGCAGGAACTTGCCTAATAAAACCCCAGCAAATGCAAAATTTTAAGACAACGTATAGTTTTTATATTTATTCTTACTCCTAAATGCTGCTAAAGTTAGGTTCCACAGTAGCTAGTTTGTGTACAACTATAGTAGAATGGTAGTAGTGTAAAAAAAAATGCTGCTTTCAAATTTTGAGTAAGACATACAATATTGAACTAAAAAAATGGTCTAACATATTTTTAAAAAATAAATGCACAAATGGTCATTTAAATAGATATTACATATTTTTAGTAGACATGATGAAAGATTTTTATATGTTCTTAGCAATCATTATAGTTGAAAGTTATTATTTAATTGAAAACTTATTTAATCAAGAAAGAAAGTTTGAGACGTACCTTCTATCTCAAATATTGCATTGTTGTTTAGATACAATTCTGTCAGACAATAGTTTCTAGTTAAAAATGCTATCCCCTGTAGCTGAAAATGAGAAATGACACATTACATTTGTAATCCTAAGGCAATGAAAGTATGACTCTAACAACTATTATTACTGCGGTCTTTTGGCCTGGGCTATAAGTGGTACCTGAAACACTTTTTGTCACAGCTGTGTGATAGAAAGGGTGTTTTTAAGCAACCTAACAACAAAATTTTCTGAGCATATCTGGGCCAAACAATCACCTGGCTTTCAGGGCCACTGTCACCTGGCCTGAGGTTTTCTTTCTACCCAATTGTGTCCTGGATGGTCACCGGTCTTCCACACACCAAGCCTTCCTCTGTTACTGTGAGCCAAGGGCTCTCTAAGATAATGCACAGCCACATCTACACCTGTGGGCTCCATGGTTTCCCTTTGCCCCCACAGCCTTTCTTCCTGGTGCACTTCTGATCACGTGTAAGATTCAGATACATTTTCACAATTCTTTTGAGATTTTCTGAAATCATTCTTTGACCTTCCTGCATCTCCCAACTGACCCAGAACTTCTTAGTAATGGCCCAATGCTAAGCTTTCTTCTTGCCCTGCTCTACAGAACACCTCTTCTGCTCTTTCAGTGTCTTTTACATCCACAGAAGCAAAGGCCTCTGCGCCCTAAATAAAGGAGGAAACTCTGCTAAGCAGGGTTGGTGCTGACATCTAGCCCAGGAGCCACAGTCACAGCTAACCCAGGAGCCGCAGCCACAGCTAGCCCAGGAGCCACAGCCACAGCTAGCCCAGGAGCCACATCCACAGCCACAGCTAGCCCAGGAGCCACAGCCACAGCTAGAGCAGGAACCACAGCCACAGCTAGAGCAGGAGCCAAAGCATGGCCCCGGTCCTTCTGTTCCTCTGTTCTTTGTTCAGTTTCCTGTGAGTCTTGTCTTCCTGACCATGTCCACATTTAACTGGTACAGTGAATCATTCCATTTCTCCAATTGTGTGTCTTCCTTAAGGAAAGGAGCCATGTCCTTCCATTCTCCTTCCCACCGCCATGTTCTTCTAACATTAGCCTGAAAGCGCATCTTACTCCATGTGTGCATATTCATGTGTGTATGTTTGGGGGTGTGCCAGGATGCACACGTAGAAATCAGAGAACATGCTGTGACGTCACTTCTTACCTTCTACCTTGCTTGAGATAGTCTCTTTTTCTTCACTGCTGTGTTTGCTAGTCTATCAGTCCTGCAAACTTCTGAGGGTTCTGTCTCTGCCTCCCATCTCACCACAGGAGCACAGAGATTACAGATGTCCAGGTTTGTGTGGGTTTGAGGGATTCAAAGTCAGGTCCTCATGTACTATATATATATATATATATATATATATATATATATATATATATATATATATATATATATATATTTGTTTTACTGTATCAACAAGTGTTTTGCATGCATGCATGTGTGTGCACCATGTGCATGCCTAGTGCTAGATCCCATGCAACTGGAGTAACAGGGGGTTATTACCTACCACATGAATGCTGCGAATAAAACCCAGGTCCTCTGCAAGAGCAACAAGTGCTCTAAACCACTGGGCCATCACTCTAGCCCCTCTCCACCAGCCCATATCTTATTTTAAGATTTGTTTCAAATGTCAAAAGTCAAAAATCCTCCTGAAAATGTCTCAGCTGCACTGTTAAGTGCTATATATGTGCCTACATACATACATACATACCATCTATGTGAGTGATATGGGCACTCAGTGCTAAGACACATGTCAGAAGGCCTCCCTTATGTCATCGCAAAGGGAACACCATTACACTAGAAATCTTGTTTTAAATTTTTCTTACACTTTAGTTTATTTTTGTGCATATGTATGGGTGCATGTCTGGGGGTCAGAGGACAATTTGCAGAAGTTGCTTCTCTCCTTCTACTATGTGGGTTCTGGGACTTGAGCTCAGGTCATCAGGCTGAGTGGCAGGTGCCTTTGCCCTCCGAGTCACCTCACTAACCCCAACTCTGTAATCTCAAAAAAAAATTCACTTCTTTGTTTGAATTATGGTGAGACACAGTAGAGCACAGGCAGAGGAAGATATATTCTAAGAGTTGCTGATAATTAAACTTAAGAGTGTTTGCTTTACTGCTCAATATAGGACTATATATATATATATATATATATATAAATATAAATAAAATGCTAGGGAGAGGATCCTCATGAAATAACTACTGATCAAGTTTTACATGGTTTTTTTTTTTTAATTTATTTTAATTTATTTTGCAATACAATTCAGTTCTACATATCGGTCACGGATTCCCTTGTTCTCCCCCCCTCCCGTCCCCCTCACCTTCCCCCCAACGCCCCCCCCCCCATTCCCATCTCCTCCAGGGCAAAGCCTTCCCCACAGACTGAGGTCAACCTGGTAGACTCAGTCCAGGTAGGTCTAGTCCCCTCCTCCCAGGCCGAGCCAAACAATCCTGCATAGGCCCCAGGTTTCAAACAGCCAACTCATGCAATGAGCACAAGATCTGGTCCCACTGCCTGGATGCCTCCCAAACAGATCAAGCCAATCAACTGTCTCACCCATTCGGAGGGCCTGATCCAGTGGGGACCCCTCAGCCATTGGTTCATAGTTCATGTGTTTCCATTCATTTGGCTATTTGTCCCTGTGCTTTATCCAACCTTGGTCTCAACAATTCTCGCTCATATAAACCCTCCTCATTCTCGTTAATTGGACTCCCAGAGATCCACCCAGGGCCTAGTCATGGATCTCTGCATCCAGATCCCTCAGTAGTTGGATGAGGTTTCTAGCACAACAATCAGGGTGTTTGGCCATCCCATCACCAGAGTAGGTCAGTTCGGGCTGTATCTCGACCATTGCCGGCAGTCTGTTGTGTGGGTATCTTTGTGGATTTCTGTGGGCCTCTCTAGCACTTTGCTTCTTCCTGTTCTCATGTGGTCTTCATTTACCATGGTCTCCTATTCCTTGTTCTCCCTCTCTGTTGTTGATCCAGCTGGGATCTCCCGCTCCCCCAAGCTCTCTTTCCCTCGACCCTCGCCTTTCATTACCCCCACTCATGTCCAGGCTGTTCATGTAGATCTCATTCCATTTCTCTGTCATTGAGCGATCCCTGTGTCTTTCTTGGGGTCCTGTTTTCCGGGTAGCCTCCATGGTGATGTGAGTAGCAGACAATTCATCCTTGTTTCATGTCTAGTATCCTGCTATGAGTGAGTACATACCATGTTTGTCTTTCTGAGTCTGGGTTACCTCACTCAGGATGATTTTTTCTAGATCCATCCATTTGTCTGCAAACCTCATGATGCCATTGTTTTTCTCTGCTGAGTAGTATTCCATTGTGTATATGTACCACATTTTGTTTATCCATTCTTCAGTTGAAGGGCATCTGGGTTGTTTCCATGTTCTGGCTATTACAAACAATGCTGATATGAACATAGCTGAACAAGTGCTCTTATGGTGTGGTTGAGCATTTCTTGGGTATATGCCCAAGAGTGGTATAGCTGGATCTTGGGGGAGATTGATTCCCAATTTTCTAAGAAAGCGCCATATTGATTTCCAAAGTGGTTGTACAAGCTTGCATTCCCACCAGCAGTGGAGGAGAGTTCCCCTAGCTCCACATCCTCTCCAGCATAAGGTGTCTTCAGTGTTTTTGATCTTAGCCATTCTGACAGGCGTAAGGTGGTATCTCAGAGTTGTTTTGATTTGCATTTCCCTGATGATTAGGGATGATGAGCAATTCCTTAAATGTCTTTCGGCCATTTGAGTTTCCTCTGTTGAGAATTCTCTGTTTAGTTCTATAGCCCATTTCTTAATTGGACTGTTGGGCATTTTGATGTCTAATTTCTTGAGTTCCTTATATATTCTGGATATCAGTCCTCTGTCAGATGTGGGGTTGGTGAAGATCTTTTCCCATTCTGTAGGCTGTCGCTTTGCCTTGTTGACCGTATCCTTTGCTCTACAAAAGCTTCTCAGTTTCAAAAGGTCCCATTGATTGATTGTTTCTCTCAGAGTCTGTGCTACTGGTGTTCTATTTAGGAAGTAGTCTCCAATGCCAATGCGTTCAAGACTACTTCCTACTTTCTCTTCTAGCAGGTTCAGAGTAGCTGGATTGATGTTGAGGTCCTTGATCCACTTGGACTTAAGTTTTGTGCACGGTGATAGATATGGATCTATTTGCAGCCTTCTACATGTTGATATCCAGTTTTGCCAGCACCATTTGTTGAAGATGCTTTCTTTTTTCCATTGTGCACTTTTGGCTTCTTTGTCAAAAATTATATGTTCATAGGTGTGCGGATTAATGTCAGGGTCTTCAATTCGATTCCATTGGTCCACATGTCGGTTTCTATGCCAGTACCAAGCTGTTTTTATTACTGTAGCTCTATAGTAGAGCTTGAAGTCAGGGATCGTGATGCCTCCAGAAGTTGTGTTATTGTACAGGATTCCTTTGGCTATCCTGGGTTTTTTGTTTTTCCATATGAATTTGAGTATTATTCTTTCCAGGTCTGTGAAGAATTGTGTTGGTATTTTGATGGGGATTGCATTGAATCTGTAGATTGCTTTTGGTAAGATTGCCATTTTTACTATGTTAGTCCTGCCTATCCATGAGCATGGGAGATCTTTCCATTTTCTGACATCTTCTTCAATTTCTTTTTTCAGGGACTTAAAGTTCTTGTCATATAGGTCCTTCACTTGCTTGGTTAGTGTTACCCCAAGGTATTTTATGTCATTTGTGGCTATAGTAAAGGGTGATGTATCTCTGATTTCCTTCTCCACTTCTTTGTCCATTGTATATAGGAGGGCTACTGATTTTTTTGAGTTGATCTTGTATCCTGCTATGTTGCTGAAGGTGTTTATAAGCTGTATCAGTTCCTTGGTGGAATCTTTGGGGTCGCTCAAGTATACTATCATGTCATCTGCAAATAGGGAAAGCTTGACTTCTTCCTTTCCAATTTGTATCCCCTTAATCTCCTTATGTTGTCTTATTGCTCTGGCTAGAACTTCAAGTACTATATTGAATAAGTATGGGGAGAGTGGACAGCCTTGCCTCGTTCCTGA